TTGCAGATTCTACATTATTCTTTAGCGTTGCATAGTATTCCATTGTGTGAATGTACCAAAGTTTGGTTATCCATTCCTCAGTTGTTGGACATCTAGGTCACATTACAGTTTTTTGATGGTGGGTTTTACATCACTACCCATGAGCCACTGAGTGAGACATACTCCTGGGACTGAGGTCTCTTCCCCATGCTCAGATATTCAGAATCATGCTGCATGTTTGTTTGTTTCCTTCATGTTTGAACTATGACTTTTCTGTACTGTGTTTAAACTCTTCTCTCTTACTCCCACTCACTTTTTTTGGCACCAGTAGGCAGTGAAGGTAATCACTGTCACTGTCTAGTTTACTCATATGCTTTTTGTTATCTAGTGTTGCTAAAAGAATGTACTACAAGTGGATATCCTTAAGCAACAAAAATTTATTTTCTCACAGTTCTAGAGGTTAGCAGTCCAAATCAGGGGTCCGGCCATCTTGATTCCTTCTGTGGGCTTCTCTCCTAGTTTCTGGGGACTGCTGGCAGTCCTTGTTGTTTCTGGGCTTATAGATTCATCTCTCTCCATCTTCCCATGGCAACTTTCCCCTCTGGTGTGTCTGTGTTTTTTCTGCTTTTGTTATGAGACAAACTCAGAAAGCATTTGTTTAGGACCCACCCTACTCCAGTATGGCCTCATTAACAAAAGAAGACCCCAATTTCTGAATAGGGCCATATTTACAGATACACAGTTTAGGAGTTTGATAAAACTTTCAGGGGGACAGAATCTGACATATAGCACATGTGGAGTAGCTATCTGGTAAAACAAATAAGAAAGTATCGCAAATGTTTAGAGTTGGCAGACAATGGTCCTATAAGTGTATGTGTATGATCTGAATTCCAGGTGTGTAGTAGATCTGACAAGGGACAAGGTTGTAGTCACTGCTTGGTCACAGCCAGCTACCAAGAGGGACCGAGTAGTTGAACCTGTGGGCTCAGGACCATAGTTTCAGGGGACATCAAGCTGAATTGGCATAACATACTACACAAAACATTGTTCCACCTCCTATTTTGGCGAGTAGCGACTGGAATCTTAAAAGCTTGCAAGCTGCCATCTAGATGCAATGATGAGTCTCTCCTCATCCAGAGCAAAGAAGAATGAAGAAAACCAAAAATTCATGGAAACAATTAGTGCTAGTGACTGGTACACCATCTGATCTGCAGCCTATATGACTATGAGACCAGAAGAACTAGATGGTTCCTGGCTACTACGTTTCAACCACTTGGAAGGGGATCTATGTAGGAGATCCCGGATAGAGAGGGAAAACAATGTGGAAAAAAAAACTCAAAATCATTTGGAGAAAAAAAAAGGGGGGGACCAGGTTTGCTGGTCCAATAGAGCCTAGTGGAACCACTGAGACTCTGGCCCCTAGCTTCCCTTCAGGTCTGGAATTGAACCTAACGCCTGTGGCTTCCAGCCAAACAATAGACAGGCATATGAGTTGAACATTTACCTGAGGTAGATACATTCCTTGGAGAGAACAATCATGGGAGAAAGAAGGGTTGCTTATGCACAGCGAGACAGCTTAGGGGGCAGGAGTGCATGGAGGGATGGACACAGGGAAGAGGTAACTATCAGGAGGAAGTATGAGGGGAGATGTTGCATTGTGGTAAATTGTCAGTGTCATGAGACAAAGTGTATGTGAACTGCTGTATGGAAAGTGTATTTGCTCTGTAAATTTTCACCCAAATCACAATTTTAAAATAATAATAAAATAATGAAAGTATCACAAAAGCACTAAGGTTGATTTGCATTTTCCTAAAAGACAGCAAGTTCTGCAGTGCCCGGATATTTTTCAGGCCAAAAAGTTCAGTAAGTTCCCTTTGTAATAATCCAAACACTTTGGCCACTACATAAGCCCCTCTTAAAATTCTTCCCAAAGGTAGAGCTATGATAACTGATATACCACCACCCCAAGTTTACATAGAGCTGTTCTAATACATGTTACATTGGAAAACCATACAACCAGGAGTGGTGTGTAGTTCAGCATGGCTTGGACCTTCTTTCCCACTGAGTAAAACTCCACTACAGTCATTGCTCCTT